TCTTAACTTGAAATTTACTGGTATTCTATCTGAAGTTGGTTTTGTACAAACTGGTTTCATGAAATTTCCGTACACAAATAAAGAAGGAAACAAAATGTAAGTAAATATTAAAATATTAAAAATATTTATATAATGTAATTATGAATATAATTTTAAATATTATTTACAATTCTTTTGTTTTTATTATTGTTACCATGTAAGGCTTGATAAATCATTGTTTAAACATATAATAATTATACTTAAAAACATATTTGTTCTGTGATATCCGTTTCGCTTTTGGGTCTATCCTATAATATATAATAATAAATACTAGTATTTTCTAAATTCTTATGTTATCTGACATAAGTAGTAAATTTACTAAAATTTAAAATATTTGATTAAATTGTAGGTGGGTGGTTGCAACGCATTTCGAGCCGAATGGAGCCAGACGAATGTTTCCATGTTGGGACGAGCCAGCGTTAAAAGCCACCTTTAACATATCTGTAATACATGATGAGAAATATATAGTATTGTCAAATATGCCAGTACGAGAACAATGGCAAATAGATGACTTGATACTGACACACTTCAACACTACTCCTATAATGTCCACATATCTTGTGGCGATTGTTATAATCCCCATACAATCTGATTTTGTCCGTGTTTCCAATGCGAATAAAACCATTAATTTTTGGTGTAACTCGTCTTTGGCAAAGCAAATAAACTTAGCGCATAGTATTGCTCGAAAAATCACGCCGCTTTTAATTGAATATATCAATAGTTCCGAAAAAGTACCGAAAATGGATCACGTCATAATACCGAATTTTCCGATTCACGGCAAGGAAAATTGGGGACTTATCATTTACAGGTAGTATAAATATATATAATTAAAAAGAAATTAATTAAACTATTAAAGCCATTGTTTCTCTTTAATTCAAATTTGAGTAATTTAAAACATGTGCATTTTTATAAATACTTAAAAAATGCACATTTTCACAGAAAAAAATATCACATTTACATCACAATAAACTAATATAAGTACATAAATTATCGTGCCATTACCCTAATAACACACTTTATGTGGGATACATTCTGGGGATGTCCCCTGGATGTCCTATGGACGTCGCGTGGAGGTCTGTGCTGTTAGAGTATGATATTGTCAAAGGGTCACAACGACATTACATACATTAGATTGCATATGTATCATAGATATATTTTATATAATTTATTATGTTACATAATTTATTCTGTCTTTCAGTCAAGCATCAGGAATTGTCTATAATGATAAAAAACAACCAAGGTATAAGGCAACAAGAACAGCGATGACAGTAACACATGAAATTATACATCAATGGTTTGGCAATTTGGTTACTC